ATTAGCCTGTTTGTTTGATGAAAAAAGATTAAATGTAGTTGCAATTAACACGTTAAGAATCCGTACAACTGCAGCAGTGGAGGACTATTATTCTGCTGCGTGATACTGCAGAAGAACTGATGATGGCACAGTTTGATCTTCGGCTGACCAATCAGCAGAAAGGGGCGTTTAATTCCCGCCCACATGTAGAAATCGAATATTCAAGCTGTTTATTAATTTTTCTATCCCTGAACGAAAAACGGAAATTTAAGCTGAATTCTCCTTTTTCTACTTTTAATGTTAAATCAAAAAACGAATGATACATGGATTTTTTTTTTGTAGAGTGAAAGGTGAAAGAGCTCTACTTGCCTGGTCGATGTAAAAGGCAGTTCCAGACCGGATCTCTCTGCGCTGTTTGAGATCAGTCTCAGTAGTATCTCTGGACAGGGCAACATATTCTACTTCTCGCTTTGTTAATTCCTAGCAAACAAGAAAAAAAATTGAAAAAGAGAAAAGACGATAAAGGATATAGTTGCGTGTTTCACTTTGCAGAAATTGAGCAAGTATTGAGGGGGGGGGGGGTTGGGGGTGGTAATGCTTGAAATTACCAGGTACTGCATGGCAATTGAACGGCGCAGAGGACCAGGAGGACCAATGAGAAACACGTCCTGTCCGAGAAGGTCCTTCTGCATTATCCAGCGAAGGTGTTGGGTGACCATTTGTGGCAAAGCCTCCATCACTGTAAAAAAATCTCTCTTTACTCTCCATATATACAGTATATGTATGTATATATACATATATATTTAAAAACAAAATTACAATCAAATTAAATTATGAACAATTATTTTATTTAAATGGAAGATTACTAAAAAGTAATTTGCAACTAGTTAGCTTAATACTTATAAATCACCTAAATTTTTAATATGTATGATATTTAACTCATGTTAATTGATTGTTTTGTGTATTTATTTTAAAATGTAACAATGTAATAAAATTGTAATAAAATTCCATCCTGCATCCAACATTTTTGTCTGATTGTTTTGTTTAGCAATAATAAAACTAATGTCATATGTATGAGGAATTTTTGCAATGACTTGTTTTTGGTGACTTTTAATGGATGTACAGTATGACGTTGAAGTTCACACAGGTGTCCCAGCAGAGTAACCACATTATATAAACTGGCACATACTATGATTTACTGGCACAAGTTCTGGATTTCT